AAAACATAGTATTTTCATTTGGTACAGTTTTTATTTAAACAAAAAATTATTAAATAAACTAAATGTGTATTTCTAAAGATCTTTGCTATTATAAAAATATCTATAAAGATAGATACTTAATATCAATGTTGCATCAGAAGTGACTTATTCGATTATATTTATATAATACTTTATTCAAATGAATATTTATAAAATAGACAATAATCCTTAGAAATTTGATTAGAAATTTATTTTTCTATTTACTTTGTGTTATATGAATGAAATTTAAGAATCTCATTAAATTTCATCAAATTATAGGTTTAATATTATATTTAATATAGTTATTGATTACATTTGAATAAATAAATATTAAAAATTATTTATTTAATAATTTTAGTAAATTTAATAGAAAAGATTAAACAATATGATTAATGAAATAATTCAAATTATTCATTCATACATTCAGAGTTACTTTACTTGTTATCGATCTAAATGAATGATTAATGAATGATCAATTTCAAACTATTATTGACCATTAATAAAAATATTAATAAATTTTTAGTAATCAAGCAGAGACAATAAAGTTTATAATTAAAAACATCATGCAATAAATTTTTTAATTTTTTTTGTAAACGTCAACTCATTGTTACTATTTGGATGATGATGCATTATCAGTTGATTATCATCCTAAAGAGATTTAAGTTATTAAAAAGACAATCCTCTTGTATTACTTTAATAAAGAGGTTATTTTAGAAATAAATGCCTTCAATATTTTAAGTATTCATATTTATTTATTTTTGAATTCTAAGTATGTTTAATCAAGAATTATTAAGAGTTTAGAAATATTTTTTTTCCTAAACAATATTCATAACTCCAATCAATATCAATGCAAATTTTTGTCTAAAAGATTACATAACATTATCAATATATTCCTCAAACAATTATTAAAAATTTTAACTGATTAGTTTTAATATTCAAATTTTTCTACTTAATTGTAGGTTCTAGTAAGATTTTTAATTTGAATTAAAACATCATAGTTTGAATGTATGAATACCTTAATTAATTAATTTCATTTATATAGACACATTTGGCAATTCATTGTTAATCCTTGAAGCAACTGTTTTCAAATCATTTTCTTAGTCATATTTTGAAATGTTATCAATTAAAAAATTCTATTTCTTTAAAAATTTACCTACGTTACTATTTTAAGCTTTGTCTTCTCCTCAATCATTGAGTCTCAATACATCTTTCTCAACATCGATCAAGTGCAAAAAGCTTAGTTTTTTTTTGCTTATTTGATACTCACAATAGATTAACTAGTCTTAAATTTTAGTGAATCTTATTTCGTTTACGATAAATTCAAACTATGGGAATAGTACTACTACTTTTTCATTTTCATTACGGGAATGATATTATTGTAACTCAAAACCTGGATGAGGAACATTTCATCCAATTTAATTTCGTAAAGTATTCCATTATTACAAAAAGAAGAAAAATTTCGTGAAATTTTTTGAGATCAAGAGGTGCTAATAATTCTATCCCAAAATGATGCTGTTCCGTCATCTTTTGATAAATTGAAATCTCGAATAATTTATTCGAAAAAAAAAAGTCTTAATCATAGAAATTAGTTACTCTCATGATCTTTTTAAAGGTGATATTCACTTGCTTTTCATTATGGCGGCGATAATAATTTGATAAATTCGTTTTGAATATCTGATAAATCCATACTAATGATAGCATTTTCATGAGCAGATTAAAACGAATCTGACATTAAGATTTTCTTCCACAAAATATGATTATGTTTTATTTTGTATGTTTTACAAGTTAATAAGCATATAAACCACTTGTTAAGATTGTTACATCATTATTATTAATTTTATTCAATATTTCCAAAGCTACAGATATATGATCAAAAGCTTGAACTAGTAATCATTGTATAATTGTTCTCAATATTTCTAATTATCCAAGTTTTAAATTTGGCTGTCAACCCAAATACTATTGGATACATGAATTATTTTATTCAATCTAATATATTAATACTCAATCTAAAAAATAAATAATTGTTTATCTAAATTTATGTATAGATAATATTTATTTAATTAAATAATCAAATGACCTTTTTTTCGTTTTTATTAAGAAAATACTAACTTTATAAACGGAGAACCTAACTAAGAGTGGCTAATCCTATGAATGAAAAAAAAAAATTTAATGCTTTAATTCAATTTTTTATGCACTGAGATATGAAAAATTTGTTAATTAAGCTTTTTCTATTCTTATAAATAGATTTCAGCCAACTAAAATACTATAATATTATTTTAATTCATGTTCCATATTATATTATCAGATCCGCCCATAGAATTTTTTAAAATAAATAAAAAAATAAATAACAACATTCTCTTTTAAAATCATTATCAATCAAAAATCTAAATTTAGCTTTGTTCATCTTGGATCTGACCATTCCATCCTCAATTTTTTGAAGGATTGAAAAATTATATTTCTATTAGATATTAGAGATATGTTTTGACATTTAGATTTTATGTGCTTGTCAATTTTCTATTATTTCAAGAATCATTAGTTTCTTTTCAGATTTTTATAAGAATTTAGTCAATAAAAATAAAGAAATAATTTAAATGAATGTTATTTATAAACATATTCTTTGTAAATTTTTGATTGATTTTTATTTTAGTAAATTCCTTAAAAATAAATAATTTTTATATGCAATTATTAAAAGTTTCAAGCAATTTTAGTTTCAATATAATCTATCATATGTAACATATTAAACAAATACATATTGGAAATTATATTTACATTATAATTTATGAAAAAATAAACAATTATTGTAACTAAATGTGTATATAAGATTTAACAAGGAGAAATTTCAAATTCTGTGTAATGAGAAGTCTTTAAATACAACAAATTATTAACTTATAGAAAAAATTGTAGAATAATTAATGAAATAACTACTTACATATATTAGACTTTCAGATTTTCTATTTTATTCATTGCTCTAAATTTGTAATGATTTATTTAGAATAATATTTTCATATTAATTAAAGAATGGTGATAGATATATGTAGTAAGATTAAAAAAAAAATATTTAAAATAAATCTAAGAAATTGAATCGCTAACATAAGTAGAAGCAATCAATATTTGGCTTAATTGGGTAGAATTCGAACTATAAATGATTAAAACCTGAAGAGCTCATTGTAGGACAAACTCTTAAAAAGCAAAGGAGTTAGTTATAGCTATTGTGAGCGGTTTTCTTTCATAAATATCTTAATTAAAACCCAGCGATGAATTTATATCTTCTGTTGTAGAAGGAGGAAAATTCTTACTTTTGAATTTCTATGATAAATAAATTAAGAACCCACTTCAATATATGAAATCTATTATTATTTCGAAAATTTGAAATGGTCCATATTAAATCAGTTGAAATTAGGCTATTCCATTTAGAATATTATCAAAAAAATTAAAGATGGATACTCAAAATACATTAAACAATCTAAGGGTTGGATGATACATTATTGTTGGGTAAATATAATATCAGATTTAATGTGTTATAGACTAATTTTTTATAAAGATTAATTATTATAAACATTATAATCAGGTACTTCAGTTCAAGATTCTTGGAATTAATTAATCACTTCTAATTAAGTAATTTAATTGCCTTATAACAAATATACAGGTAAGCTGAAAATATTTGTAAACTAAAATTTTATATTTAAAAAGTTTGGGACGTTAAAATTATTCTAAGAGTATTACATACAAAGTTCAAATAGTTTTTTATTATTGCTCAACTACATCACTATTTACAAACTGATAAACCAATTAGAAATTAATATAATTAGAAAAGAAATAATGTTTTTAATGAATCAAATCAAAAGTAAAACTTAATTTTGCTCTGTTTAATGAATGAGATAAATTAATTAGTAAATAAGGAGCTTTAAGTAAATTAGATAATCTAAATATTTTACAGGGACATCAATAAAATTAAGGAGAATAACTAAAAATATTGAAGTAATAAATATTAACATGTATTGAATATCATAATTTTGGATATAAATGTGTCACTATAAAACTATTTCTCATCAAGAATTGATAGAAATTAGTCTTGAATTCGAAAAACTGCTTGAACCTTAATTAAACTAAAATAGTTCAATTTTTACAAGTAATAATCTAGATAAATTTCTGATATAAGTTTCTTCGATAAAGAGAACCTTCTTAAAGATTTTAGAGCAGAAAGAATTTAAAATTGTTATTAAAGTATCTATATCTTAATTTAGCTTAGCTTCTTAAATAATTAGGCTTTACAATCCATAATTGATATTAAAATTGATTCAGGAAATTTATTAACATTATTAAAATATGTTTAAGGAAAAATTATAAACAGAACAAGTGTCTGATGTTCAAAAGATTCTTATTATGATATAATCTAACTTAAATATTTATAAAGGAGCACTATCGAAAATGAAATATAAATATATAATTAAACTAATATAAATGAATACATAAAATAATAATTATTGATAAGAAAGAGAAGTTACAAGCTTTAATTAATAAGCACTAAAATATAGAATTTTAAAAAGATGAATTAGCTGATTTTAATTTGCATATCTATCTAATCTTATTAGTAAGGAAATAAATGAAATAAAAAATAAAGATTGGCTTAATAAAATCAAATTCCATCATATAGTTTTATTGTCTGAAATTCTAACTAAATTATAACTTATTGGTTTAGTTTAGTGAGATAAAAAAATTATCTAATAAGATAATATCAAATTATTAGATGAACGAACATCTTTTGGAGATGAATTCAAATATACAAACAGAAATAGTTTTGTCATAAGTAAAGAATATTTAATAAATGAACTTAGAAAAATCATTAATGAAATTAAGATAAAACGATTTATTTGATTGTGAAAGTTCAATGAAGATATTAGATAATTAATAATTATTTCATAAAAGTTAAAATTAATATTCAAATAAAATCTTAATAATAATCTCTCCGAAAATTAAGAAACAATACTATAGTTTTTTAATAAGTTTAAAGGTACATATTCATAAAGCCTAAATTAAGTAATAATCAATTTATAACAATTAACATTATAACTTTTTAACCCATTTATAATAAGGAATAAATTATTTTTGCGAAGAATTTTTGTCAAAACTTCCAAAATAACCTAAAATATCATAAATACCTGTCATGATATAAATACTTAGCTTTAATACACTTAGTATAGATGATTAGGAAATAAAGCAGTAGGATGAAAAACCTGATAATATTATAAAATATTATTATANTTGTATTGAAGAAGTTGAAACTTCTTTTTTTAAAGAGTTTTTAAATAGTTTACATTCTGTATCATAATTTTGGATATAAATGTGTCACTATACAACTCTTTCTCATCAAGAATTGATAGAGAGAAGTCTTGAATTTGAAAAACTACTTGAACCTTAATTAAACTAAAATAGTTAAATTTTTACAAGCATTAATAATAATCTAGATAAATTTCTGATATAAGTTTCTTCGATAAAGAGAACCTTCTTAAAGATTTTAGAGCAGAAAGAATTTAAAATTGTTATTAAAGAATCTATATCTTAATTTAGCTTAGCTTCTTTAATAATTAGGCTTTACAATCCATAATTGATATTAAAATTGATTCAGGAAATTCATAAACATTATTAAAATATGTTTAAGGAAAAATTATAAATAGAACAAGTGTCTGATGTTCAAAAGATTCTTATTATGGTATATTCTAACTTAAATATTTATAAAGGATTAAAAATGCTTCTTAAAATACATCATAGGAAATTATTTTAGATGTCCTCAAAATTTTAAGGAATGTTTGCAAATTTAAGCACTATCGAAAATGAAAGATAAATATATAATTAAACTGATATAAATGAATACATAAAAATAATAATTATTGATAAAAAAGAGAAGTTACAAGCTTTATTTAATAAGTACAAAAATATAGAATTTACAAAAGATGAATTAGCCGATTTTAATAGCATATCTAATCTTATTAGTAAGGAAATAAATGAAATAAAAAACAAGGATTGGCAAGATAAAATCAAATTCCATCATATAGTTTTATTCTCTGAAATTCTAACTAAATTATAACTTATTGGTTTAGTTTAGTAAGATAAAAACATTATCTAATAAGATATTATCAAATTATTAGATGAACATCTTTTGGAGATGAATTCAAATATACAAACAGATATGGTTTCGTCATAAGTAAAGAATATTTAATAAATGAACTTAGAAAAATCATTAATAAAATTAAGATAAAACGATTTATTTGATTGTGAAAGTTCAATGAAGATATTAGATAATTTAATAATTATTTCATAAAAGTTAAAATTAATATTCAAATAAAATCTTAATAATACTCGCTCCGAAAATTAAGAAACAATACTATAGTTTTTTAATAAGTTTAAAGGTACATATTCATAAAGCCTAAATTAAGTAATAATTGATTTATAACAATAAACATTATAACTTTTTTAATCAATTTATAATAAGGAATAAATTATTTTTGATGAAGAATTTTTGTCAAAACTTCCAAAATAACCTAAAATATCTTAAATCCCTGTCATGATATAAATACTTAGCTTTAATACACTTAGTATAGATGATTAGGAAATAAAGCAGTAGGATGAAAAACCTGATATATTATAAAATATTATTATAGAATTAAAAAAGGGCAATAGATTTAATTAAGAAAAAGGAATAATTGATATATTTGAAAATTCATCTTATAAAGTGAGGGAATTACTTGTATTTAATTTATTTAAAATACAATCAATTATCTAAGAATAAACCATTTAAGAGTTTTGTGAAAAATAATTACAATAAATCTGGATTATTGAAAAGCATCCAAATGTTCGAAATCTACTTACAAATGATGAAATGATTATGATGCAGAAAAAGTTATTTTCTAATATTTACAAAATTTATCAATTAGATTAAAAGTAGAAATGCAATCAAGATTAAAATAAATAGAGGAACTTGAAACTTAGGTGCTTCTTAGTGATAATTAAGAAGAAATGAAAATATAATTATAACATGCTTATGATAATTTTGAAATATATTTGGATAATATAACAGATATGTCATAAAGATTAGATATTAGTTTAATTTTTTTAAGAGAAATCTGCAAAGATTTGAAAAATATCAAATCCTCCATAAATTAAGTGCTAATTAGTATAAAAAGGGTTGAAGATGACATAAGAAGATTAAGAGGGAAGAATTTCTTGGAATTATTAAACATGCGAAAATAAAAAGTTTTGAAATAAAAGCATGAAAATGAGTTAGATTAAGGTTACAACTCAAGATTATGATCCTATCTCAGGAAATAGAAAACAAATAGTCAAGGGGAATTTATTACATTCTTAATTAAATATTAATATGATAATTATGATGGAAAAGTGAATGAATTTTTATGGAGTGATTAAGGAAAGAAAAAAGATTTAATGTTAATTAAAGGAAAAGCAGACTCAGGAAAAAGTAGAGCATCACGTAATATTGAAGAATTTATATGGATTATACGATTTCACCGAATTGGATTCAAATTTATGTATCACTTCCTTCGTTAAAAGATCCTCATCTCAATTTAATTGATTAGGCTCTTAAATCTGAAAATTACAACATTGATAATATTTAAATAAAAGAATTTAAAGATGCTGTCATAAATGTAAAACTTAAGATGGTTTTAATACTTGAAAGCTATGATGAGATGAAATTTGATTGTATTGGAACTAATCTCTATCAAACCAATAGAATGGCTTAAGATCTTAATCTCTAAGCATCAGGATAAACAGTAAAAGAGATTATTACTACAAGAGACGAAATTTCAATTCTATTGGATATTAAACGTGGTTTTATGGTTAGAATATAGATAAACCTTAAAGAAATTGAAATATTACCTTTTAGTTATGAGTAGATTTCTTAATATATTAAACAATATGTTGAAATAAGTGTGAAGAGGACAATTAAAAAGTTTGATGAATTTCTTAAATAATTGAAAGGATAAAACTTTTCATTAGAGTAATTTAAGTTGATATGGAATCAATTAGAAAATATAATTAATTCGATAGTATTATTATAATAAACTTCTGAAGTTTTATTTTCAAGTTAAGATGTTGATACATAAAATAAATTTAAGTAGTATAGTTTATTACTTTTATAAAATCAAATTAGATGGTATCTTTAAAAAAGGAACTTCTTTAATTGTGGGGAGAGTAAATATTCTTTAAGTAATTAATAATGTGAATATAAATCATTTATTGACAACTCTATTTATGATGGAATAATTGTATATGTTTTACCAAACATTTCATAATTTTTCTCAAAACTTAACTTAATAAGAGATCTACTTAAAAAGAATTATATGATTCTGAAAACAGAAGCTAAAAAATCAGAGAAATAAATTGATCAATTATTATAAAAGCAAATAAATGAAGATTTTGACAAAAAGATTTAACCTGTAGA